TGCTTGCCAGGCAGGTGCTTATGTCACTGAGTTGTCTAATGTTCTAATTATTAAGGCTTTATGGCTAAGAAAGTTATTATGAGCATTTCTTCCATTTCTTCGTGATCATGGTATCTCCCCTGCCAGGTAAACTATTTCTTCCATTTCTTGATATTTTCTTTAAAAAAACCCAGCATCTCTGAGGAGGTATTGCTCATACCTGTGCTTTGTAGTGTTCCAGCTCTTTTTTCAGATTGGACTGTTCTTGCTCCCATTCCTTGAAGGCACTGCCGCCGGGTTCATTCTCCTTCTGGCCTAGCATTTCTGCCAGACGTTGCTTAAGTTCTTGCAGTTCTTCCTGGTTTTGAGAATTCTTTTGGCTAAGTTCTGCGTTTTCTGAATCCAACTGTTGGTTTTTGATTTTCAAATCTGCAATCTAATTAAAATTGAAATAAGTTTTAAAAACTTCTTACCCTGCTTCTGCTGAAAGACAGATTTAGAGCCTAATTATTTTTTTCCCTTTCTATGTAAAGTTTAAAAAATGTCTAGATATAATGGCAGAAGCAATTCACGCTCAGTATCACAAATGCAGCCATTCCGAGGAAGTGTGCCCCAAGTCTAACCTGCTCCACAGGGCACCCCAATGTTCACAGCTGGGGATGTAGCAAGGAGATCATCCTTTCTAGGCATACACAAAACCCCTCTATACATAAAGGTTCTCTTTTCATTTTAGAGAAAATAATGAAATCATTTCATATATGGATAGTCCATTTTTTTCCACTCATAATCTTACAAATGCTTATCTTTTTCTAAATTGGTGCATTCAGAAACCATCACATGCTATATTTTTAGTGGCTAGAAAATACTGTGTGGCAGTTGGATACCAACAGTTGGATTCAGAAAATGCAGAACTTAGCCAAAAGAATTCTCAAAAAATTAGTTTTTCATAATGAATTAGTTTTTCATAATGCATTCATCCATTCTTTTTAAATTTTCTTTTTATTTATTTATTGGATACAGGATCTTACTGTGTAGTTCAGACTCATAGTGATTCTCCTGTCTCAGCCTCCCCAGTGCTGGGATTACAGATAGGAGTCACCATGCCTGATTTAGGGATTGAACTCGGGTCCTTGCGCTTGCCAGGCAGGCACTCAGGACACTGAACTATCTCCCCAGCCCCATTCATCCGTTCTCACACTGATAGGAATACATGCTCGCATTGATAGGAATATAGGTTTCATTAGGAAGAAAGAAAATGACCTGGAAAATCCACATACACATGGTGGCATGTTGTATTTATGATCTTTTTGCTTTTTAGAAGTGGTATTGCTGGGCTAGAAGGCATGCATACTTTAGTGTTCTTACAGATGTCCCTAAAATGTCTCCCTTACAGTGCTACCAATTAATAATCCCATCAATAATGGATTTCTCACTTTGTCATATGCCTTTGAATCGTAGTCACTATCTATCTTTAATTGCTTTTCCAGCCTAATGGGGGGAAATGACTGCATACAGACACCTTCTCTCAAAAAGCCAAGGAAGCGGGCAGGGCGTGGAGAAGCTCATCTGCATGTGCCTCGTCGCTGCAAGGCTAACCACCTTTTTCTATGCTGCATGCTTTTATGATCTGATCTTTCACACTGATTGCCTATTTTCAACAGAGTTTTGCTATTAATTTGTAAGAGCACAAACTATATTTTGGATAGCGACACCTTCGCTATTTTAACTAAAATATTTTTGACCTAAAAACGTTATTTTCCCAGCATGTCCTTGTTTTTTGACTGTCACCCATACTCTTTAACTGGCACTTCCTACACTCGATGCATGCTGTAAGATTATCTAAAATAAGCTCTGAATGACACAAGCCATCTGAATAAATCATAGTTCTGCAAAGCAGTA